TGTTTTGGAGGCAAAGTACTTTTCAGATGAGATAGGGCAAATCTAAAGTCTCAGACAGAATGTGTCCTGGGGGGCTGAACATCTAAATTACTCAGCCAGGTGTATGATTTGCCTCAGAGGTCTGGCTGGGTCCAAAATTACACAGAAAGTAGCTTGAGTTCACAATGCTGTCTTGTTTATGCAGTTAGCATCAAGAGTCTTAAAGAGATGCAATACAGTATCCTTGTTAAAGTATTTTAGATCCTTTTTTTCTTAAATGTAATTGATGAAGGAAACAGTGAAAGTTAGGAATGACACTATCATAAAACATTAAGTTTTACAGTTTCATTCCTCTTTAGCAGGGAAACTCAAGCCTGACAGGTCTGCCTCATGTTTTCTGACTTTAACCAAATTCCATTATAGTCACTAAAGCTATTGGATAATAGCCAGTTTGTCAGTTAGCCTGACTTACCTTTTTTTGGTTTTTAATGGTGGAAAACATCCTTAGGCTGAAGCTACGTTTCTTGTTAAAAGAAGGGCTTTCTGACCATGACCTGATTTTATTTCTAATTATATATGTATATAATCATATTGCCTTTATAAATTGTCCAATTTTGTGTTAACAGAAAGTAATTTACAGGTATATTAACTTTGAAGGTGCTATTCCTGATATTCTATAAATGAGGTATCAGAACGTGCATATGGACTACATTTCATTTTGCAGGAATTGCCTGAAGGGCTTGGTAAATGAGAGGAAGAGAGATAGGAGGTTGTTCTTCCAGATTTGAAAAGCTGTATTTTAAAAGTTTTTTTTAAAGTACATGTGAAATGCTATTTAATTAGTGTTACTGTTATGTGCTTTCTTGTCTCTTTGAATATTATTTTTTCTTTCTTTATCCTGTAGCGTCACATGTGACGCTGCCTTTATATGATAAAGAATAACTACACACTCTCCGGAGCTGGTGGAATCAGAGAGCCTTTATTTGAATTCCGCGGTCTCTTTTATATCCCATAACCATGTGATCCCCTCATCCAATGGGGGCTGTAAACCTCGGCGCATGCTCTCTGGGCGTCTCTGCCCTGGTACATCCCCTCTGTACCTCAGACACGCCCCTACATTATCCTACCTCTTGGAAGTTATATGTAGCAAGCAGAAGGTTGAGCTTTTTGTCATAATTCTCTCATGTTCTTAACCAGTTTTTATTCTTTGTTGATTAAATCATAGGGAATGGAGTAAAAATTCTCCATTTCAAGTTAGAAGCTTTGTCCCAGGTTTAAATGTCTAGGGTGTCATTCTTCAAATGTATGAAGACTAATAACTAGAAATGGGAAGAACTATAAACTATTATACGTATGTGACAGCTGCCATAAATGTGAGTTACTAATTCTGTATTGCAGACGTTTTCTTTGTTTTGGAAATAACCAGTGTGTTTTCTGTGCTGTGCAAGTTGATTTACTGAATTTAGTTTTATACTTAACTTCTCTTGTGGGAATAATAGATATTCGGTGTTGCTGAAAATGTTGCATCGATTGACTTAAATTGCGATACCTAAGATTAGTGATAGTGTTCGTAGAATCATTAAGGTTGGAAAAGACCTCCAAGATCATTTGAACACCACCATGTCAGATAGACCACAACACTAAGTGCCACGTCCAGTCGTTTCCTGAACACTTTTAAGGATGGTGATTCTACCACTTCCCTGGGCAGCCCATTACAATTCCTGGCAACCATGTCCAACCTGAACCTCCCCTGGTGCAGCTTGAGGCCATTTCTTCTTATCTTGTTGCTAGTTGTGTGGGAGAAAAGGCCGACACCTGCCTGGCTACAACCTCCTTTCTGGTAGTTACAGAGAGTGATAAGGTTTCTGCTGAACCTCCTTTTCTCCGGGGTAAATTACCCCAACTCCCTCAGCAGCTCCTTGTAGAACATACTCTCTAGACCCTTCATTTTCTTTGTTGTCTTTCTCTGCTCTCTCTCCAGCACCTTAATGTATTTCTTGTAGTGAGTGGCTCAGAACTCAAGGTATTACCTCACCAGTGCCGAGTACAGGAGGACAATCACTGTTCTTGTCCTGTTGATCACACTATTTTTGATACGTGCCAGGATGCCATTGCCCTTCTTGGCCACCTGGGCACACTGCTGGCTCATGTTCAGCTGGTTGTCGACCAAAACCCCCGGTCCTTTTCTGCTGTTAAGTTCTTTCTGTATTTGAATGTTGTACGGAAAATATTAAGTATCTTGAGTCTAAACAATCTCAAGATTTCCTTGGTTGTGGATTCATCTTTGTGAATTGCTTTGCTGTTTTACTCTGCTCTTCTTACTAGAAGAGCTGTCTTTTTGTTACAATGAGTATATAATAATATAAGAGAATAAGCTGTAGATTAGGCAAGTAGTTCACATTTGTTAGCCCAGCATACTTACTTTGTCATTCTTGTCTTCTCTCCTGTCTCACTGGTTCTTTCTTTATATATGCTTTTAGCATGTTCCCTTTATTTACTCCATAATTTGACTCCAGTCACCTTGTTGTCCTCTACAATTCTAACAGCTAAACAGTCCCCAATTTCTATTGTCAAGGAATAAATGTAACATTCCTGATCCTTCTCTTTCTCCATCCTGAGTTTTGTTACCTTCACCTTTAATGACTTGAGAGTTCAAGTTTGCATACATACTTCCACCTTCATAAATAGGAAAAACATCAATTTGCATAAAAAACCAATATAGGGATTTAGTTTTGTTTATTTTCATTAATCTACATAAGCTATCATTTAAGAAATTCTTCTTTTGTGAAAAATATCTGATGCTTAAAATTCTGTAATTTTACTTTCTGTGCTATCTTTCACAGTCCAACCACTCCTTGAAGTAAAACCCATCTTCCAAAGTTATTAAACATCTTCATATTACACTTAGTTATCCTTTTTCTTCCAGTAGTATGTTTCTTCTGTCTGTATCTGCCCTTTTGCATTTCTTAGTTAGATTATATTTTCAAAAGGTCTAAAGTTAAAGCTAATGGACCTTTAAAAACCTTGTCTTTCAAGTAATAAAAAAATTATTAAATTGTCATAGTTGCTGAGCTATCATTGCCAACAAGGAAGCATACACATGGATAGGTTAGAATGAATGCATTAAACAAGAGTGAATTATAAAAATTATAAAAATAAATAACAGAAAACAATCCTACCATCCTGGGATGCAGTTTAAACATTTGATTAGCTAGAAAATTCTAGGTTTCTTTGCCAGTTGTAAAAAAAAAAAGACTGTTATGTGCAATTCGTAGCTTGGGTAGGCTAGACCCCAGGTTGCCTGAACACATCAGTACCTCCTGTCATGTTCTGCTGCCTTATTAAGGTTTATATTATGTAAGGTCTGTCATGCAGGGTCTTGCTACTAAAGTCATGATCAAGCTTCAGTAATACCACTATTATTCCTCTAAGTATCAAAATTTATTTCTGGGTCCCAAGTGTTCTGTTTGAACTCCATGTAATATTTTTTTTTGTAGTTAATTTCAGTATTTATATCTCAGAACAGCAGTGTTGTTAACTAAATCAATTTTTGGTTGATAACTTCAGAAAACAAAATGCTTTCCAGAAGAAAAGATTCAGGACTGGAGTATTTAAATAATTCATACTAAAGAAATCTCAATTTTTCAATGAAATAAGATATAATGAATTCTGATAGATATTCAGCATTTGTTATTGGGTAATATCACTGGCTGGAAATGTGTTTGTCTTGCTCCTGTGGCTGTTATGGATGCTGGGGTTAGCAAATTTATTACCTACAACCCATCATTAAGGCAAAGTGGAAAAGTAATTTAGGCCTGTGATATGAAAGTAGAAGCTACTACATAAGGACCCCAGGAAAACCTGGGAAGAAACATTTCCAGAGAGATGTCAATTGATGGAAGTTGTGCTAACCTTTGCCAGCAACACAAACCAAGAACATGGAAACAGTTATGAAAAATTGCAGGATTCAGGAAGGTGAAAAAACACATTTGCTTAGATTCATAGAGGTGGTGTCTTCTTTTTTTATTGATGACTCTAGAATCACTTGAATACCTATAATAAATTTTAAATTAATTTCTAAAATTATGCCCCAAAATCACAGTTCAATCCATCTCTGTACAGTCACTATCTGAAAAATATATGTGCCTTAATTCTAACTTGAAGTTCTAGCTTAATTTGAATGTTTTGTTCATGTCTGGAGTTCTCCAGTTCAAAATAGGTGCAAAACAATATCCTCATTGATATCTTTTTAATCTCTTGCATGAATGCCATTAATAAAATTAATGTGAATCATAGAAATGTCAGGTCTATAATTCAATTTTTTACAGATTCAATTCCTTTTTAGCAGAGGTGGAGATAGTATCAAACCTGACTGATTTGTTCGAATTCTAGCCTGTCACAATCATCCCATTTTCAGGGAGTTGAGAGTGTTGTTGATGTTGCCTAAGCACTATCATCATCTAATAATTTTGTAGTTCTGTAAATGCTTGGCCAAATCCATAGAACATTTTCTAGGACAGGATGCATTTTTCTTCACCATCTGACATGTCACTGTCATATAGCTGCCATTTATATCACTTTTGTTTTTAAGAAAGTTTGTACATTTTTGTTTCCAATTCCATTAATGATTTTGCCAGCAAGACAGTTGTTGTTCTGCTAGGAAGGTATTATTCAGTATTGATGTTTATTTATGTAGCATATTCTTTTTTTCACTGGATGATGAAGGGAATGCTTAAGCATTGGATATGTCTAAATATAAACTCCACTAAGGTGCTGAATAGTACTTTGGGTTTGAAAATTATAGTTTGGCCTGCACTATCATGGGAAAAATGTATCTGCTATATTACAACAGCCACCTTTAAGGCTTTCATTGTGAAAAAAATATATCAGTGTCATCTCCATGTTAGTGAAATTATTAATAAATTATAGGGATATTGATATCACTTCTTGCATGAATATGTGAAGCTTTGAGCATTAACAATGTTGAGTTAGCATTTCCCATTCTTGAACTAGGAACTCACTGTGCTAGTTGAATGATGAAATTAAAAGGCATTTTGAGAAAGCACTTCCAGTTTTCTCCAGTAAAACAAAATGGACCCGTGTTGTCTCAGCCTGGATGTTCCTGAGCATGCAGTCTTCTATGGATGACCACTGAAGTGTCAGAAAAATAAACCTGAAAATAAATCCAAAATCCAAATCTGAATGGACTCAATTCAATCTGTTCCCCATGTTGAGTGTTTTCTATGTGCATGTAGTTTGACCTAAGCCTAGCCTGTAGGAAACAGTAAGTGTAAAAGCTTTTGTGGAATTTAGGCTATGTGAATTTGATCAAAGCTGTCTACCTTGGTGTTGTGTGTTCTTGCTATAGCAGGAGTCTTAGCAAAACAAACAAAAAAAATATGCTATAAGATTGTCCATTATGACCCTTATCTTCCTCTGTGGACCTTGGACTTGTTTAAGCTTCTCCATGTATTTCAAGATGATGAAGGAACCCCTAGAGAGATTAACATTCAAAGCCTACTGCAAGTATGTGACTCACTGTTTTAAATGTAACTCCCATAAATTCCTGTTACACTGTATGGGATTTTCAATTATGAGGACATAAGTTTCCAGACTCCACCCCGTGCTCAGTTGACTAGCTATGTTAAAATGTCTTGATTTATGCAACAGAATTCAAAATACCAACCTACAAGATTCAAAATTTAAATGCCATTTGAAACTGAGAATTACTCAGAATGATAAAATTTCCTCATTAGAAATGACATCAATAATTAGGGTAATAATCTGTGTCTAAAAACACTTACAGAAAAGAGTTTACTTCATTTTATCACAAGTTGGATTTAACAAATGTTAGCTGATAATTTTCACTGCCTATATGGAGCAACTGATACTTTAGTAGCTTTTTTTTTAGTGCACTATGACATAAAGAGTTTGGTTGTTCTGAATGTCTCCATGCAGGTGATGTGACTGTTTATTGATAAAAGACAATCACTCAGTTGAATGGCTTATCTCACATAGAACAGAGGAACAACCTGGGGACATAAAATGACATGTGGTAAGAACCATCATATTTTTTCTGTTAAGTGGCTGAGGTGCAATAGAGGGAACATTTTACTCCGGCCTTCCATTCCTTGACATTCTTCTTAAGTAGTTTTAAAGATTCTCATGTATTTCAAGAGAAGTTACACCAAATAGAGAATGACATTTTCCCAGAGTGAAATGGGAATAAACTTTATTCAATCACATGGGTAGTCTAAACACACAAGTAAAATTCCTTATTTCTACCACAGCTCTTCAGCCTAGAGCTAAGCTGGGCTCGACTTGAAAACTCTGTTCTAAGGTGTGTAAAGGTATGTATAGACCTTTTGATCTTCATTATCAGAGCAAGTAATGAGCAAGCCTTTGCTTTTTGTTTGACTGGTATAGATAGCTGCTGGCTACCACTTGTAGGTACCTTGATATAGACACATTCAAAAAAGTATTCTAAAAGGGTAATTCAGGGGCTTAAGCACATTAATTAATAATTTGAACATTTCGTCCAATGCATAATGATCAGCGAAGACAAGTGTCTGCATTTACACCACATCTGAAGTAGGCATCCTAAATTTCCTCCTGATGTAAATGGTATTATAAAATGATAATGACATTTTGAAGTAGCTGTTGTATTTTTGATATATGTTGCCCCATGTAACAATATTACATACCTGCAACTTTCTTAGTTGTGAGATACTACATTGTAAAGATCATTTTGACTAATGCAGGTGACCAGAGCGAGATCACAAATTCCAAAATCTCTTAATGTGCTCTGCATTGCTATGTCACTTGTATAACTCCTCTTTAATTATTTGGTTTATAGGACTTCAGAAAAAAAAAGACTAAATATTGATATCAGATTATGATCAATCAAAAAACATCAAAATGAAAACTGGAGGGGAAGAAAGAAAGAAAGTAGGGCAGAGAGGAAGACAATATACCGTATTACTTACAGCAAGAACAAAAAGACCTGATCTGTCTTCCCTTGTACTCCCTTTCCTGAATAATTAAAGCAGTAAAGTATAACAGTCAAAATGTTATATTGACTATCTGAACTAAAGTGTCTAAAAAGAAAATCTTGGTGTAATCAATATAAGCAAACTATTAAACTGAGAAGGGTGTTTCAAAGTCACTGTGTTTATTAATCTAAAGTACTGCTGAATGCTAGCTCTCTGTTTTGTATTAATTCAATTTATTTCATTTGGCATCATTTTCCAAGGACCAGGTATCAGACATAGTTTAAACTCATAAATCTATCATTTATTATAATTTAAAAAGCTAGATTTCGAAGTTCTGACATCATTTGGGAACTTGGTGATTTTAACTGGTATTATTTTGCTTCACCCCATTGACCCTTTGAAGACTTCTTAGTTCAGTGTGAAATAAGCTTAAAATAATGTATAGATGCACTGTAGAAGGACTTCTTATTTCCTAATAGTAACACAGCAGTAAAATTTTAAAAATTGTCTTCCTCTGTAATAGGTTACATCATGTGTTAAATTAGGTGTGAAAAAATGTTGCAGGATATATAATTAGAATATAATTACTTCAGTACACACCTGTCTAAAACTTTGCCTTTAGTATTTGCTTTTAGTGATGTATGTGGATATACCTAGTCTAATAATCTGCTTTTACATCAAAATTGAATCTCCTGCAGCCTAAACTACAGTACATTTTATATTAACCTTTCCTAAGCTAGAAGGTAATATGGACATGCATGATGAAAACCTATTTCTACTGCTTTAAATGAAGCCTATTTCTACTGTCTCTGCTGAACACTGAAAATAACTACTACTTTGCCTTCATATTAAAATTGAAAAGTGCATGTGGAACACAGGATAAGGACCTTCTCAGGTAGAAGGGTGCAGACAGGTTTTGAATGACATGAGAACACTTCTGTGTTAAAGAGCAAATAGGCAAAACATTTTGAAGCGATGCAGTTCAGAGAATTCTGAAATACCAAGTATCAGACAAAACAATAAAGGGCTGATTGTTGATGTAAAGTGCTGCAGCAAAGCATATGAGGCAACATTTCATACTTACAATTAAAACTGGAAGTGTATATCTCTCCAATTAAGTCAGTAGTAAGGGTTTGGGACTGTATACCATTTGTCACCATTGATTCCAATTAAACTCAGAGGTTCTCATTGTAAAGAATTGTGTGTAATCAATGAGCAATTAAGAGAAGAAGACCTAGAAAGTAACTTATTGTAGTAAATCTGGTATTGGAATGGCCCAGGCACATTGCCATTAAACCACTTACAGCACTGATAACATGCTGCAGGCGACATCATTTGTTGCTCTTTTAGCATGGACTGTAGTGCAAATAGATTTAGGTTTAACTTAAATTCCTGGAACAAGAAGCAACATCTGCCTGTAAACCCTGGTCTGGATCTTGCATGTTTTTTCCCTATAACCAACTACTAATAATCTTTATTATTAGTAGCTTAGAAAAGACAAATCAGATCCTTAAGGATCCCATAAGGTTAAAGTTATTAAAGGCAGATGTCAATTCAGGGAGTGCCAGAGGTGAATTTAATGACAACAGTAGCAGAAAGTTCAAATACATTAATTTGCCCTTAGGTGCTGTAGTTAGTTTTTATTCCAGGACTGAGGAAAGGAAATACAGGTCAAATGAACTTCTGGCAAGAATCATGCATGCAAACATGATTTACATAATAATTTCAGGTTGTATTGTCAAACACAATATCTCTTTGAAAGGTGTCTTGTCACTTTGAAGAGTCTTTGTCATGCTACCTGTATGCAATCTTGTTCACTTAATATATTCCTTTTCTTTCTTTTTTTTTTTTGATTGCTCCACTAACAGCTAATTAATCTTGTTCCTGATTTTGTTTGTTGCTGGAATTTGTACCTACCAGGTCAGGAGCTGTTTCATCTTGAATGTGTAAATGGTTCCCCAGGCAAAGTACACGTGTGGAAAATATAAGTATATGTATTTATCAATATCGATTGGATTTATTGTCTTGTCACTATAATTATCCAAGTTAATTTAGGAAGTCATTCTGCAAAGTATTGTTGCATGACTAGTGACTAATTAATGACTGAAAAACCACAATGCTGTGTGTATGCCTGGGCACTTGTATCTTTTCTGTTTTCTGAGTTGTATATTGTTTTTCATGTTGCAACACTATGTAGCCTTTAAATTAGATTGCTGTGTATAACATACCTGCCCTAGTTCTTACACTCAAAATCTTGCTATGGAGAAAAAGGAGGACATACCTCACATATGAAACAAGTAATTTATTCTACATTTCCTTAAAATCCTAAAATTTTAATAAAGCAAAACAAAGTTATAATTAGTCCAGTTGAAATTATACTAACAGCTAGAGTTCAAATTAATATCAAATAGATCCCATTGGTAATATGGTTAAAAATGTTATACCAAACCTTCCAAATAAGCTCCTTTTTTTGTTTTCAGATGTTATGACCATCTTTTGTTGCATCTCTGATTCTAAAGGAGTCGGAGTGGAGTTGCAGTGTGTTGTCAGGATAGTGAATTCCTGGCAGGGGGGAGGTTGAAGCTGGTGATAAATTTTTTCCTCTTTTTTGAAGGAGTATATATGTTTTTCCTTTTCATTCTAATGTCTACTTGGGCTATTTTAGTGTTTTCTAACATGATTTACATCTTGCTTTTTTTTCACTGGTGTGCAACTCCATGTTATACTGCAATTTGCAACACATAGTATGTTTTAGATAGGTGAGATACTTATTCTTTGTTCTGGGATTTTACTTGTTATCCTATAGCAGTTTTTGGCCACCTCTGAAGTCTAAATTTCATTGACGGATGACGCATGAGCTGCTTAGAGTCTTAGGGTCTCCACTCTTTGTCATTGTTTTTCAAATCATCTTTTTACATAACAGAAGACATCACTTTTTCTTAATATTCTCAGACCATTAAGCTACAATGGCAATAACAATTTTGTCTTATGGAAAATTCTGATTACAAGTACCAGTGGAGTTTATACGCCATTTGGGATATATACTTTTTGTCATACATTGTAAACAAGTTTTTTTCGTTGGTAGATTCCTCATTGGACTGATGATAAAATTATTACAGAAAATCTAGAAAGATTTTACTTTCATGATCACATTAAAAAAAAATCTCAGGAAATTTGAAAAAAAAAGATACTTAGATTTTTTTAATATCCTACTACTGAAAATACTTATGTGTGTTTAGATAGAAGTCTGAAAATGACATTAGATACAGAAAATTGACTTGAAATAGGTCATGGGCAAATCAAGTCCTCCCTACTTCCGATACATTGCTATTTGGTTTGGTATTTTCTCTGGCAGAGTAATTGTGTTTGCATACCCTTAAACAGGGTCATAGTGCTGGAGGAAAAAGTATGTGTGGTTTCTCTGTAAGGTATTCTTTAACCAGAAAATGAGAATTATGTGTGTTGACAGATTTATGTGGATTCTGCCTCGTAGCATATGGCGGTGCTGATAAGAACTTGTAATAATCTGTCTAAAGAATTCATATCTTTGCAATGCGCAGTGCTAAATGCCTGACATCCCATGCTCATTTTGGTCTTCATAGGAAAAAAAGTGAAATACAACGTTGAAGCTTGAATGATGGAATTCATGACACTCAGTGGCTTTTCCTGAACAAGACTGATGGGGGTGAAAAAAACCTTGCCACAATAAATTGCTTCAGTTACTTTTTCCAGTGTCTTCTGTTGTGCCAAAATAAAATATCTTGATCTAAGTAGAGAGAATTGATTTATGCATCAAGTAAAATTATTTATGATAATCTTTTTTAGATATCTTTGGTTTAGGGACTACAATTTTCCTGGTGTCTCTGGTGCTCTCAGAATATAATTACACTAATAGTACAGCTTTGTCTTGCATAGCAATTCGTGTGCATATACCAGTGTAGCTTACCTGTTCCTCCTCTAAGGAGGGCAGTCAGAAGCAACTCTATTTAAAATGTAGGCCAAGAAATTTCAGGCTTAATTCAGAAATGTGTGGCACTCATCAACAGTGCTAAACTTCAAACATTAATCTCATATACTGTGTTACTGCACAATCATGCCAAATGTTGTAGGTAAGGGACTGTCAGAAGTTTAATTTAAATGTTGATTTTTTGAAGTTATGACTTATCTACTGGAGGGGACAGAGTGGAACAAATGGTGCAGGTTGAATGATCTGCCACTTCGGAATCTCTGGACCTCTTAGACAGATATGACTGTTTAGAAGCTGTGGAAACAATTCATTAAGCTTGCATGGCTTTTGTTTGGAAGCATGAGCAGGAGGTGGACTGATTGGGGGTTATGGGTCAAGTGAATGTCAACAGCTTTGTCCCTGATGATGTGAAATATTGACCCTTACCTGAGAAATCTTCAGAACCTGTATAAACAGACTTATCTGTTTTTGTGAATGTACCAAATTTTTGTAATTTCTTGGATTGTCTGTCAGGTTCAGATCTTGTAATGAAAGGTTCTGTGTTTTGGGGTTGAGTGAAGGCAAGCAGGGTTGTCATAGGTGTTTACACTTCAGAAAATGCGCTCATTCTCTATGACACAGGAGAAAATTTTTGATGCCCCTATGAGCTAGGGAATACACTCCAAAGAACGCAAAGAATAGTTGTGATTATTTTTTTTTAACATTATAAAGGGTGGAGCATATGAGAAAGGAGTATTTTAGTAGTATATAAAGGCAATAATTTGGATAACATATGATTTATCAATGTGTTGTTTTCAGTGTAGAAATCTCTCAACTTAGTTTAAGGAAACCATTTCAGTTATATCTACATTGATTGTTAGTCTGGACATGAAGATACTAGTTAATATTGAAGCTGTCAGGATGTCTTTTGTAAGAATACATTTTTAGTTTAATATAATAAAAGAGGCAACGATGTTTTAAGGGTTCATTTTGGCTTGTTTACAGGAACTGGTAGTAAATAAGGAGAAACACATTTATACCTTGTGTTTGATATACACAGTCATGCTATCTATCACCACTTTAGGTTACTTGTCTATATCCTTTTCTGCATTTAGTTTATGTGGCACAATTATTTAGGAATTATATTATGCACGATAGCTTTTAGTATTTTTAGAGGTAGCAAAACCATACATGCTATGAAAAACCTAATAACTTCTGTATATTTTTTGCAAGGTACTGATATGCCAAGGACTACACAAAAAGATAGCCAAACTGCAGGAAATAAAGCTTTTTAAGATGGTAATCAAAAAGTAACATCTTCAATAGAGACAAATTCAAATATTCCTAGGCATAATCATTCATAAACTGAATAGGGAGCTTTGAAACTCTGTATAGAGTGCCCTTCTCAGCCAGTTACACCTTGCAGTGGTTACTTTAGTCAGTTTCATCTCACTAATGTGTTACTTAAAACAGGGTCACCAACAGGACATATTATTTTACAGTTGGTATATTCAGCATTGCCACCGGCTGCCGCATGAGAGGAGCCCTGAAAAGAAGATACAAGGACTCCCTGAAACAACATCTCAGCCTTGGCCATGTTGATCAAGACAACTGGTCTACTCTGGCCTCCAATCGGGAGGCCTGGAGACACACCATCTATAACGCTGATGATGCTTTTGAGAAAGCACGCAGGATCACTCTCAAGGAGAAAAGAACACAGAAAGAACCGTGCCTTGCAGAATGTACCACCTAAGGAGTCTTTCTGCTGTGCCTTTTACAACAGGACATGCCCATTTCATATTGGCCTTTTTAGCCACCAACGTGCTTGTAACAAATGTGGGTAGAGCCTTTCCCAAATCTTCGTTCACGAAGCCTAGCCATGAGATGAGAGTGAGATATTCAGCATACCAAATGCATGCACAAATTCGTATGAAGTGCACACATCATGGTCATTAGTTGCATTTTCATTTTAAGATCCAGCTAGGTAGCCTGAAACCGCCCATAAGCCCAAGTGACTCTTTTCTGTTGGTACTTCAGTAAGGCCCATACTCAGATGCAGACAGGCAAGTTAATATGCAGGTTTGAGACAATTTTCTTGCATTGGCTACATCTGCCATCATGTATGCTACAACAGATAGGTCAGCTGAGTCCTTCCTATGCAGTTCTCGGCACTATGTGTTGGAAGGTCAGACTGATACTGCAGTGGGTTCCCCAAACGGGACAAAGCTGTGGCTTTCTCTCTGTGACAGTGTGGACAGTCTGAGCCTGGGTAGGCAGTCAGGTCAGGGAGCATGCCACAGGTTGCTCAGCTCACAGGGTTCACTGCTTCAAAGGACAGCTGTAGAGAGCGCATCTGTCTTGGAGTGCCACAGCAATACTCACTTTTCGAGTGGAGAGAGCATCTTTCACATTTACTTGATACCAAAAAGACTATGACAGATTTCATCATCTTCAGGCCTGTGTGTTTCTAATTCTTCTTCTTATGTGTATGGATATTTTTGTTTCATGGACTGTTTCAGGCAATAAGAGTGCCAATGCTCAATGGGTCTTTCTAGCTATGACAGAAGGGTAGAAGCAGTGACAAATTGAGCCAGCAGAGAGAAACAGAATTATTAATTCAGCTTCCTTTTTTGTTGTCCCACAATCCTAGAGCAGAGCAAGGGCTTGTGCCAATTCCAGTTGTGGGAAACATACTCTTGCAATAGAGCAGGTGTCTTTCTGAGGGCATTGATTCAAGAAGAAGGAGATGGAAAGTAAGGAGATATAGGCTGTGAAGTGAATTATCAGGAACTTGTTTTAAAGGAGGTCTGATATAGTAGAGAAAGTAGATAGCTGTATGTGTCTACATACAGGGACTGTAATATCCTTGAATATGCCTAGTACCCCATGGGAATTCAGCAAGTGAGGAATTGTGGTAGCATTCAATTATTAACTATCCTTGTATCCTTTAATCTTTACTATTACCACTATGGTATACATGATGATGGAGAGTGTTGGACTGAAATTTGTGGGGAAAAAGCCCCAAACACTTTAAGATATGTCTTTTGTTTTGCACAAGAATAAATTGAATAGGTTGTTACTGGAGTTTTAATAAGACCATAAACTTTCTGCTCTGTATGTAAAATGAAGCAGTTGATTTAGTTTATAATGATACAAACAAGAAAAGCTACTCTAAAATATATGTGAATCTCTGAAGTATGAACTTAGTGTTGGGAAAATACACAGAATCTGATGCAGTTAGACAAAAGAGGCAGGACAATAATTAAAAGACAGTACACTAATTTATTTAAAACTCAAGGGTCTACTTTCCAGCATAAACAAATTCATTCTGCAGAAGACCATCCTGAAAGGTAACTGAATTTACCAACTAATACAAACTTCAGCCAAGGCAAAATATTCATGCCTCTTCCAATCTCCTTGCCTGCAGGAATACGTTTTGTGCCTGACAGTTAATTTTGCACTAGAAATCCATGTGGGGCTGCTAGCTGGAAGCAGGGGGAATGAAAACTCTGCATGTATGTGCCTCAAACTGCTGGAAATATGATGCTAGGCATTTAGATGTCAAAAAAATTGCTACTTGTTTATTGTCAAATTAAATGCCCTCAGACTAAGAGCTCATCTATAATTGAAATTTATTTTTAAAGCAAACTTCAGCAACCTCTCTGCTCTTGCCACCCATTTTAATGTCGTGAGAGCCTGAAAGCATGTCACAATACTAAAGAGATTTCAAACTTATGTGTTTTCAAGTAGCTATAGATTATGCTTAGATACTTCATCTCATGGGATGAATTTGAGATCAGCAAGTTTAGTAGTCCTCTACTGCTTTCGTACACACACACACACACACAAAAAGTGGGAAAAAAAGGCTGTTACATAATCATGGAGTAATTCAGGTTGGAAAGGACCTCTGAAGGTCATTTGATCCAAGTCCTGCTGAGAGCACAGGTCTATGTTGTTAGTTGAAATTATTTAAGCGAAATGAGCTCAACACAACTGAAGGGAAGGAGAATTTTTTTCCCCCTCATGTAGTTGGGGTGGGTCTGAAGGTTTACAGATCAGATACAGCTCCGATACAAACAGAGACATCTAGATTTGGGTATTGAAATGGGTGATGCTTGTCTGAAATGTTAATGCAAGAAAATAAAATTTTTATTTCTTACCTACTGTCCCTGCAAAATTCGTCTCTTTTTTTCCTGTACTTCTCTGATAGCGCACAGAACACAAACTCATGAAGGTTTCTGGTAAGTGGATGTCTATTAGACTCTTGTTTCGACTTTACAGATGGTCGACTACAGTGGAATCCAGAAGCTCTGAAAAAGTGTATTAGGTAATCCACCTAATTAGTTAGATCATCTGATAAGAAAGAGGCATATGATATAATTGATCATTCAGTGAAAGCTTATTTTTATTAAATGGACTACCACTGTCCTTCATAGTAATTCCTCTGGCCTTAGGGATTCTCTTGATAGAATTGACCCTTCTTTCTAGCTTTTATTTTATGGTTTAATGGTCCATTTCAACTGCTTAGCTCATACACATTCTTAGTGCATCATTCTAACATTCAGATTCAAGAGCTAGAATGCTCGGTAACTTCCTAGCCTGCTACAGAAATGACAACTATAATTCTATGAAATGAAGTATTAAAGCTGCTCAGGGTTTAAAGGCTGCTTCCCAAACACCTTTGGCTCTTTGGCTGCTTCCTGTAGCAAAGCATTGATTCTATATGCACAGCAACATGGCACAAGCACAGCTTTTTGGGATGCAGATGTCTCCACCAGCTTTTGGGTGATAGAAAGAGCTATGAAAGGAGAAAAGTTGTACAAAATAAAAAGGAAAGGGTAAACTATCCAATTAGTTTCTAAAAAAAATAATAATAACTTTAGCTGTTAAATCTGTCACTTCAGGCTTTTCAAAACACCTTTATTTATAGTATTATACATGCTTTAGCAACCTTATATGATTGCCTAATTGAAATAAAAATAATTCTAGCTGATTTAACAGCTACTTAATTTTCTTTAAAGAAAACCAACCAAAAAATTTTCAAATTTCTGCTATAACTTCTGAAATGTAATACTGCAATAAATTAATTACTTTTTTCACTTCTTGCAAAGTTTTATGATGCTATAATGCAAAAGCAGCCTGCCTGGTCTAGCCTATCATATTGAGCTAGATGATTCCAGTTGCTAACGGAACATTGGCAAACAAAGAACCCCTGGAAAATTCAGGCAAAGCAAATAAGATCAATGAGAGAGGTGGAAAATAATTCTATAAAGGCGCGATTTATTAGTAATGGAGTTAGGGGAATTGGGAAAACAGATGAGCTGTGGTCAAAAAGAAGCAGATGAAGCAACTGAAACTAGTAAAGAAACAGTGGAAATTAAGAAACAGGGAGAGAAAGAGATTCAAATGATTTTTGAATATATATTTTTTCTCAGTGAGATTTTGCTGAAATTATGCCAGTGATGAAGTTTAATATTGTTACCAGGGCATTACAAAAATATTTGACTTTACTAGGATTATTGATTTTAAATTAGACTTCCAGTCTGTCATACAGACCTTGTGAAGGTCATTATAGTTTGAATGATATCAAG